GAAATATGCATGTTAGTACATGCTGAAATGGTACTATCATTCTAGTAAAGCTTTCTCTTCATTATCTGCTTTTCCCACAATCCAGCTACATTGTAACCTACTGTTTAAACACTCTCATGGTCCACATTAATTGAATGTTTTAAGAGACATTATGCATTAGTTACAGCAAACACAACCAAGGTGTATGCAGCTTTTATTTTCTTTTTCTTTTTTTTTTCATTAAAAAAATTTTAGTGACATAATTTCAGGAGTCCCTATTCCCCCTCACTTTTGCCCACCTCCACCCTTCCCCACCTCCACCTTTCTTGGCCTTTACCAAATTATTGTTTGTATCCATGGGGTATGCATATGTGAGGTATAGTTTTATTTGCATCTCTCTGATAGTGACCTTGAGCATTTTTGCATGTCTATTGATCGTTTGTATGTCATGTATGGAGAAGTGTCTATTCAGGTCCTTTGCCCATTTTTTAATTGGATTGTTTGTCTTCCTGGTGTTGAATTGTATATTTATATATTTTGGAAATTAACCCCTTATTGTATATATTATTGGCGAATACGTTCTCCCATTCAGTGAGTTCTCTTTTTATGCATATATTATATGTTCTTTAGCTATTTCTTTCACCTTCTTTATCGAGTCATGCCCACTCCCCTTCCCTTGGGCACTGGCCAGTCTGTTCCATGTATTCATGCCTCTGGTTCCATTTTGTTCATTTTATTTTGTTCATTATATTCCATGTATTAGTGAGATTACATGGTACCGTATTTGTTTTTTTCTGACTGGCTTATTTCACTTAGCATAATACTCTCCAGGTCCATCCATGCTGTCACAAACGGTAAGACTTCTTTCTTTTTTACAGCTGTATAGTATTCCATTGTATAAATGTACCACAGTGTTTTTATTTGCTCATCTGCTGATGGGCACTTGGGCTATTTCCATGTTTTAATTATTACAAAAAATACTGCTATAAGCATAGGGTTACATATATTCTGATTGGTATTTCAGGATTCTTAGGATATATTCTCAGAAATGGGGTCACTGGGTCAAAGGCAGTTCCTATTTTAATTTTTTTGAGGAAACTTCATACTGTTTTTCCACAGTGGCTGCACCAGACTACATTCCCACCAGCAGTGCACGAGGGTTCTCTTTCTCCACATCCTCACCAGCATTTGTTGTTTATTGATAGTAGTCATTCTGGCATATGTGAGGTATAGTTTTATTTGCATCTCTCTGATAGTGACCTTGAGCATTTTTGCATGTCTATTGATCGTTTGTATGTCATGTATGGAGAAGCGTCTATTCAGGTCCTTTGCCCATTTTTTAATTGGATTGTTTGTCTTCCTGGTGTTGAATTGTATATTTATATATTTTGGAAATTAACCCCTTATTGTATATATTATTGGCGAATACGTTCTCCCATTCAGTGAGTTCTCTTTTCATTTTGTTGATGTTTTTTGCTGTGCAAAAGCTTTTTAACTTGATGCTGTTGCATTTGTATATGTTTCCAGAGTTTCTTTTGCCCTCAGAGACATATTGGCAAAAACGTTGCTACAAGAGATGTCTAAGATTTTACTGCCTATGTTTTTTTCTAGAATTTTTATGGTATTACAACTTATATTTAAGTCTTTTGTCCATTTTGAATTTAGTTTTGTGTAGGTGCAAGTTGGTGGTCTGGTTCCTTTTTTGCATGTGCCTGTCTAGTTTTCCCAGCACCATTTATTGAAAAGACTGTCTTTACTCCATTGTAGTCTCTTGCCTTCTTTGTTAAATATTCATTGACCATGGAAGCATGGGTTGATTTCTGGGCTCTCTGTTGTGTCCTGTTGATCTATATGCCTATTCTTATGTTCATAGCAGGCTGTTTTGATTACAGTGGATTTGAAGTATAGTTCACAGGGGTCTGCGGGTCCCATCTAGAATCCTTTTTCCTGGCTCCTTGTTAGAGTATTTCAAAAATGAGAATTCTTTTGTTGACTGGCCCAATTTCCATGGTTTTAAGTATATCTGAGGTGTTATGATGCCTATTTGAAAGATTGGGAGATGTGTTTAATTTTAAACAATTGATCAAGATTTTAACAAAATAGAGAGATGCAAATCAAAACAACAATGTGGTACCATCTCACACCTGTCAGAATGGCCAACATCAACAAATCAACAAACTACAAGTGTTGGAAAGGTTGCGGAGAAAAAGGAACCCTCGTGCACAGCTGGTGGGAATGCAGACTGGTGCAACCACTGTGGATAACAGTATGCGTTTCCTCAAAAAACTGAAAATGGAACTCCCATTTGACCCAGTAATACCACTCCTAGGATTATATCCCAAGAAACTAGAAACACCAATCAGAAAGGATATATGCACCCCTATGTTCATAGCAGCACAATCTACAATAGCTAGGATTTGGAAACAGCCTAGGTGCCCATCAGCAGATAATTGGATCAAAAAACTATGGTATATCTACACAATGGAATACTATGCTGCCATAAAAAAGAACAAATTCTCATCATTTGCAGCAACCTGTATGGAATTGGAGAACATCGTGCTGAATGAAATAAGCCAGTCAATGAAAGAGAAACACCACATGACCTCACTCATTTATGGATAATAAAGAACATTATAAACTGATGAACCAAAAGATAGATATAGAGACAATAAAGCAACAAGCAGACTGTCAAATTGCAGCGGGGAGGGGAGGGAGATCTTGGGGAGATAAGAGATCAACCGAAGGACTTGTATACATGCATATAAGCACAACCAATGGACACAAAACTCTGGGGAGGGTGGGTATGTAAGGGGGGGGGGGGCAATGGTAAAATATGTACACAGATGATAATTTAATAAAAATATTAATAAAAGGGAAAAAAATATTTTAATATAGATTATAGTTTTATCACTAACTACCACACTGGGAAATTTTTAAAGAGAACTGGCCAAAAAGTTGGCCCTTGACTTCTCATTCTGCTATAGGGCAGGAATGAGCCCACCTGTTAATTCTGTGTCACTCACTAATGATTCCTATTTATATGTTTAGCTTTTGCAACTTATCAGAATGCTTTCATAGCATTATCTAAACTGCCCCTCCACAGTAGCCCTATAAATTAGGTAGTGCAGCTACTATTAAGGCCACTTAAACAAGGATGAATTTGAGACATAAACAGATTACTTCAGTTTTCCAAGGTTAGAGAATAACAGTAGAGCCACAATTAGAACCAAGTCTGCTATATTGCAGTCCTTTCTGTTAGAGCACAAGACTCCTATGAAGTGTTCAAGCTCTGCCACCAGTATGTCTTGAGAGTTTACTAAATGGCAGGTACTGTCATTCCCTCTCATTATCGTGTACATTTACAATTACTCATGTTATTTCAAGGTATTGCATGAGATATCTTGAAAAGCCTCATAGAAATTCATAAATTGCTAATCAAAAACTCACTAAATCTTTTAAACCTACTTTAACTGTGTGTCTAATAAAGATGTAAGAAGTCAGCCAACTGGCCACATATTGTTATCTCTTATGCTTGTCAGGTAGAAGGGTAACAACCAAAGTATAATATCTGGAAGCATATCTATTATATCTTTTTTTTTAATGTTTCAGCATTTTCCAGCTAAAAGGTTGCTATAATCCAGTGAACCTTTCTATTAAATAGTTATTTCTTAGCTTCCTGCCAGGTTTAACTACTTGGCCATGGGTTATTATTCTGTGTACATGGCATCTCTGAGGATTAATGAACAAGGCGTGTGACTATAGCAAAGCTGAGTTTGGAATGCAGGAGGGATTAGTGCCCAGGCTAATATATGCTTCAGTTGAACATGAAGACTTTTAAATGTTTAACATTTATCAGTTGAAACATGAAGGCTTTTTATCAAACTTCAAGTACCTAATAGATCCCTTTTAAATAAATGTTTATCACAGAATAAATGTGTACCCACCAGCCACAATTTAGTAATGAAAATATTGCATTTAAATATTTATAATTGAATTTCAAATTCCAGTTCCTGTGGTGTTGTGGATCAAATGCTTTAATAGAATTTGTACTATTATCTGATCAGTTCTTTTTTTTTTTATTTAACGTTTCCAAATTGTTTCTTTTACAAACAATGGTATGTCCAAGTTGAATTGACAGCATTTTTTTCCTAGTGATTTATACATAAGCTAACGTACCTTACAGTCAATATATCTGAACTTTAGTTGACATGACAGTAATTACACCTTACTTTTTTTATTGTCTAAAGTTTTACATATGTCTCCTTTTTCCCAATTGACCCCTCCACACTAGCCACTGCCACCCCAGGCAAGCCCCCACTGCCCCAGTGTCCGTGCACATTGGTTATGCTAATGTGCATGCATTAAGTACTTTGGTTGCTCTCTAGCCCTCTCCTCCCCCATTATTTGTCTCTGTATTTATTCTTGTTCATCAAATTATGTTGATCAGTATATCCCACATATAAGTGAGATCATGTGATTTTTTAAAAATATATATTTTATTGATTTTTTTAAATTTTTTTTTAACAAAGAGGAAGGGAGAAGGCTAGAGAGCTGGAAACATCAATGAGAGAGAAACATTGACCAGCTGCCTCTTGCACACCTCTTTTTTTTTTTTTTTAATATATTTTATTGATTTTTTACAGAGAGGAAGGGAGAGAGAGAGCTAGAAACGTCGATGAGAGAGAAACATCGACCAGCTGCCTCTTGCACACCCCCTACTGGGGATGTGCCCGCAACCAACGTACATGCCCTTGACCAGAATCGAACCTGGGACCTTTCAGTCCGCAGACTGACGCTCTACCACTGAGCCAGACCGGTTTTGGCAATATTTGTCTTTCTCCAATTGGCTTATTTTGCTTACCATAATGCTCTCCAATTCCATCCATGCTGTTGCAAATGGTAAAAGTTTCTTCTCTTTTATAGTGGCATAGTATTTCATTGTGTAGATATACCACAGTTTTTTAATCTACTCATCTGCTAATGGACTTAGGCTGTTTCCAAATATTAGCTGTTGTAAATTGTGCTGCGTGAACATAGGGGTGCATATATCCTCTCTGATTGGTGTTTCTGGTTTCTTGGGATATAGTCCTAGAAGTGGGATTACTGGGTTAAATGGGAATTGCATTTTTAATTACACCTTACTTTTATACAGGCCTTTTATGCAAGTGTGTTAATTGAACCTCACAATAATTATAAAAGTAGAAATAATTGGTATTTATTTTGCAGTGACAAAGTTGAACCTCAGAACTGGTAGGAAAATGCCCATTTTTAAATACACTTTTACACAGAATTGAGGTAATCTCCCAAGCCTAGTGATACCACGTTCAAAAGTTTTACGCCATGTTTCAGGATAGGCTACAGTGCAAACAAAAGCAGCCACACTCAAAGGTGCATTGTTAAGCCTCTTAATGAATTCTATATATGTACATTGGATTTTCTCCTTAAAACATAAAAAGCCTTCAGTGCAGTCTTCTGTAATCATGTGGTTTGAAAAATTATGACAGTCATTACTGGGGCTTTACCTTGAGCAGCTTTAATTATTTTAATAACCATCCACAGTTCCTTCATCAGAGAGATTTTGGACCAAAGTATAGTGATTATCAGGCTGATGGGGGAAAGCTTCCTTGTTATACTTATCGCCTAACGTTTATTATGTGCCGAGTGTGATCAATTTTTTACATATGCGTTAATTGCATTAAAGGACTGAACAGGAAAAGCTATTTAACCTCATCTTTATTCACTTATCCTTGAAATAGTCCTGTCATGCTGCTCCTCGAAAAGCAGAACATAACGATTTGAACTTTGTATGGATCACCATAGTTACTGGGCACTTGTGACATTTTATTCCTTACTATTTTTACTTTTACGTATAAATTCTTCAAAACTTGCTTTCCTGTGTTTTATGATATCATTTTTCCCCTTGGCACAGTTATAAAAATGAATGTCATTATTTTACATCTTTTACTCTCCTTTTGGGACCTGTGTGTGCTGGAGTCATTTCCGAGGGTGCTGTTCCTTCCTGTCGCAATAGGAAGCTTCCAGCCCTGGGAGCCGGAGCGGGGCGTTCCAAGGTATGTGCCAGTGTGTGCCCAGCACAGACTCTTCTTCGCTGAAATCCCTACACATTTAGAAGGGATGAAGATGAGTTTGCAATAGAACAGTGAAGTTAAAAACCCAATGGAACCATCCAGTGATGGCCCCATTAACTGTGTTTGCCTCATGGTGGAACTCTGGGCACTCAGAATGGGTTTCTCTCACATGTGGGAGTCTGACACTACAGAAGGTTGAGGCTGAACATGGGGCCTGACGGAACAGAGGGGTGACTTTCAGTGGGCTGCCCTGGGCTGCAACAGCCAATTCATCACCCACACTGCAGTCAAGATTTATTTTTCATCTCGCTTGTGTAGCAGTCCCGGTTTCCATTTTAATACTTAGAAGGTAAGTTCAGTTGATGGACATTTTGTGTAATAAAAAACTCTTTTAAAGAACGTGCCCACATACACACACGGGATAAAAAGTGGCACCATCAGGGCCGGTGGCTTTCACAGAATACATTTGTAGAACCCAAAGCTTAGTCCTGGATATGTTTATAGCACTTTAGCTCCGTTTGTGAATTTGGAACCCTTCCAAAAAAAGAAGAGAAAGACATATATTATTGTTTATAATCTGCTTTATTCCGCCAAACCTTGACTGAACAGACCTGTGGATTGCTGTTTAAATCCCTCAGTGCCTTTAACTACCGATGGGGAAAGTGGTTAATGCGCATTCTAAACGAAGCTTGGCATCCACTCCGGGAAACCACTTTAATTGAGAAGCATTAAATGTTAAAATGATTCTAAAAAAATAATAAAGCCAGCACACATATTGAGTATAAAAGTCCAGGCCCATCAGTAATATAGTTCTTGGTTCTCATATTCCTCTAGCCTGAGTGAGCTTTAAGCCCTGCAGTTGACAGGTGTCGAAAAAGCGACTCTCAATTCCCGAGGTGGCTGTCTGCGGGCGGCCACCCATCGGCTGGCAGTGAGCAGGCAGTGGCCAAGGGCTCCACGTTAGAGGAGGGGAGCTGGCAACTTTACAGATGTTTGTTTTTCTGGAATAATAAGCTGGTCCCAGATGACTAAAATGGGAGATTTAACCCTCAAGTCCTTGCCTGGGCTTTCCATTGCTGTGCTGGAGCCATCTGCTGAAACCTATTTACCATTTTAATGGCCCTTTTTTTATTTCTTTTTTAACTGCTTTATTTCCAACTCCAAGTGTGTGTGCCAAGAGTACTCTTTGGGGTCTGTATTTTATCTTTCAGGAAGCAATTCCCAGCCTTTCCAAAATCCCCAAACCCCTCCCAGGCAATGGGAGATCCTGGTCCAGGGTTGGCAAGCAAGCGAGAGAAAGATAAATCTTTAAAAAACAGAAAACAAAACCTCTCCCCCAGCTTCAGAGTTAGCCATCCCTGAACGTTGTGGCCGATTCTGTGGTTACTGAATAATCCAAGGTGTGCCTAAGTCACGTGGCAACTTTTCTGCCCTGGGAGCCCCTTCCATGGGAGCAAGTGCTTACTGTCAGGGACAGCCGGTGACTTGTCCATTTAATTACAGAATAACATCCCAGTTAATCACATGCCTAAATTCAATGGCTGTGTTTAATGGGGGAGAGGCCAAAGAAAGGGGTTCTAAAGGAAAATTCTGAAATCACATTGAACAAAAAGAAGAAAAGGAATGAAAAATTTATAAAGAAGTGTTACAATCAGTAGCCCACTCCCTCTGAAAGGGTGTGATGTACTCTCCCCCAGCAGGTACAGAGAGATGATTTGAAGAGCTCTGTTTAATAGTTTGGGTGGATTCCTTTTATCACTCCTTTTAGAAAGATGATAAGTTTCCTCTTTCTAATGATTTGGCCCCATTTTATAAACATTAAGGTGTTTTTTTTTCTCCCTCCTACCACAGTGTTTCCTCAGAAGCAGGGGCTAACCATTGCTTACTGCTCTGGGGCAGCCATGACCCACACCAGCACTGACCGAGCACCGCTGCTCACTGCACATCCAGCAGAGGACTAGCGGAAAGGCGAGGATTTCCAATGACTAAACTGAAATAGCATCCGTCTAAAGAGGTACGGCAAAGGGATGCAGCCATTTTCTGTTTAGACTGTAAAGGACTCTAACCAAATTTTTAAACTATGTCTTAAATAGCACATCTAAGGAAATACATTCAGAAACGTTGAGGATCACCTTTTAGGATTTTTACTTCTAATTTGACAATTGGTTAAAATTTATAACACACTGACTTACTTATCTTTGATCTTTTTTTCATCCTTTTCTGACTTTGGCTGAGTGGAATTCTGGGCCCAAGGAGAAAGATGGCAGGGCAGGCAGTGCAAACACTGACGGTTGTGCCTTCCTCAGTTCTCCTGAGTTTGAGTTTTATTTCATTCTTTCTGGCCAGTGATTTCTTTCCTTTATTCTTCTTTAACACATTGCGGATGGATCAGGAGAATTCTGCTTCCTATTACACAGTGCTTTACAAAGTATCGTACTTTAAAAAGATATTAGTTTGTAAGAACATGTAATAAATAACTTCAAAATGCAATGGTTATTTAATTTTAAAGTATGCCTTTAACATTTATGTAAAACATTTTTTGTACTCGTTCAATAGGAACTTATCTGGCCACTGGGTAAAGCTAGCAGTAAAGCTACTGGTCCGCAATATGTTAAGCAGATGTTCTTCTGAAAAGGCTGTCAGAGAATCATGCTCAGGAGCTGGTCTCCAGAGACTGAGCCAGAAAGAAGGACCCAATCCTTTGATAATTCTAAAGTATTGCTACTAGATTAGTGTGGTGGTGGGATCAGAGTGCACTAGAGCACAAAATAGAAACATTCCATTGAATTAACAGCCTGATACTCTCAAAGCAATTGATAGAGTATGGAAAGCAAAGACTCGGTAGAGACTACTGGTGATGAGGATTTGAGAATAGACTACAGGCATGGTGTACAGTGTTAAATCAATAGCCCACTGCATACCCTGGCAGAATTCTCAAGTCCAATTTGAGTTCCTCAGGAACACCCAGGTAAGTAATCAAATTTAGTAGCAACAGAGTTCTTCATAGCCACTTGGCAAATTTCCCTAACCACCACCCAAGCGACTGAGCAAGGGAAGAAACGAAAGTCCTCATGTGCAGCACCTCCTTGTTGCTCTACCTAAACTTCCCACTCCCATTGGGTGCTCTCATCTTCTCCCTGGCTTGCACCCAGTAAAGTCCTTCTGATCCTCAGCCTTCCTTGGTACATACCCCAGTAAGGCCTTTGCCTTTCTCAGCCTTGTAAAGTATGTACCACAGGAAATATCTCGGCCAGGGACCATAAATCCCTTCCCTCCAGAGCAGATTCAGGTCTCCACAAAAAGACTTTTAAGCCCTCTGAGAATCTCACTGGAGGTCCTGCCTGGGGAAAGTACTACCTTTCCTGTTTAACTGGCTTGACTGTGGGGCACAAAGTAGGTCTAAAACTTAGGAAGAATCCCAGTAACCTGGTGGCATCCTTAGACTGAGAACTGAGGCCCAGAGCCCAGCCCCATGCTTTGTACCTAAACAAGCCACACAAGATGTGACAGTTGTCACTACCATTGTCTGAGGAGTCTGAGAATACGAGCCCAAGTGCTCCAGGTTAACTAGTGGCTAAAGAGGTGATGGATGAGTTTTCTCTGTTCCTTCTCCTGAGCCAGATGCCACCAGCACTAACCAGTACAACTTTCTGCAGTGGTATGTTTTATATTTGTGACCAAATGCCATAGCCACTAGCCACACGTAGTTCTTGAGCACTGGAAATATGACTAGTGTGAAAAACTGAAATGAACTTCGTTTCACTCCATACTGAGCAATTTAAATGTAAATAGCCATGCGTGATTAGTATTATAACTACCATATTGGACAGTACACCTCTGCTTGGATCTTCTCTTCAACCAAACAAAACTAATCACTAATGGAAATGGTTTTTCCAAGTTGGGACCCTAGCTCTAAAGAAAGGCTATGACACTTTATTTTTTATTAAAGAATCTCTGTTGCTCTTTCCATCCTCACTGTACTTCAGGTCCTGCACATGAACAAAGCCTCCTCTGGAAAAGTCTGAATACAGACTTTCCTAGAAAAGCTTGTCTAAGAGCCCTGATGACTCTGATGAGGTGTTTCTAACCCTCGGTCCACCTCTCACCCAAATGTAGACAATTGCACATTTCTCAAGGGAGAAAATATGTGAAGTGTGAAGGACAAACTAAAAAACATGTAGTCAATGGGTTTCTCTGCCCATTCCCTAAGTCTAGGAGCAGAGGATTGGGCCCTAGAACATTGCTGTGAGAGAAATCAGAGAACTCTGACCAACCCTTCACTGAGCAGTTCTGGTATTTATGGTTGTAAGTAGTTCTGGCATTTGGGGTTGTACTTCGGGTTTTCTTCTGGTGATGAAAGGGTTCCATGTCAGCACAGCTTTGCATTTGATTTCGATCAAGAGAAAAAACTTGCAGTAAACTAAATGAAAAGCAAGACACACAAGCTTCTAAAGAACATCCATATTTATTTAACATAGTTTTACCATACACATCTCATGCCAACACACAGGAGGCATATACAAACAAACGCACCAGCTTCTGTTCCAAAGTCACATGGCAATAAATAAGGATGGGTAGGTACTTTTTTTTTCCTTTTTTTCCTTTTTTCCAGCAAATGAGACTTCATTTCTTTTCACTGTACAAAATTTACACTGGGAAGGGTGAGGGCAACAATCCAGAGCTTAGGGGAGCAGGTGCTTTGAGGTCTGAATGCAAGTTCAGAGCAGCATCTGGGATCCTGCAGCCCCAATCCTGCCCATTTGGCTGCACACAGTCCTCAAGTGAGGGAGTAAAAGTGATTTTGTCTCTAGGTGGGCAGCAGATGAGAGTGGGGTGTCCTCTGTCCACCTGAGCTCTGCCTCCCTAAGCAAAGGAACGCTTGGCACACCTCCAGACCTGCAGCTGTCTCCTCCCCAGAGCTAGCAGCATGAAACTGTGCTTTCGTGGGCCTACCAAGCAGAGGGAGGGTGGGATGACTTTGCTGAACTCTCTCTTTTTTGGCTCCTGTCACTGTGGGAGACAGTTGGAGCAACTACTGCAAAGGGGGCCAATTGACCAATCCAAGAAAGAGAGAGCCAGTGATGTGCTTTTTATTTCGCTTTCAGCGTGCCCAGAGCCCTTCAGCAGCAGGCAATAAAACAGAACTCATTTCCGCTTAATTGAATTTTTCTTCATCTCATGGGTTCCAATTTTTAAAGTGCAATGTTTAAAAATGAGCCTCCTCAGTCCTTCCAGATCCTGCTGGCTCAAGAGGTATGGTCATTATTTCCACAGTTAGAACCAAGATGTCAGTAGCAGCATGTGGGAAGGGTTGGAAAGGAGGGGGTGCTGGATGCACCGTCACCCATAACACAGCTTCTGCTCAGCTGAAGCCTTCCGCCCACTCCAGCAAGGAGGCAGTTACTGCACAATAACCAGCTTGAGCCTCAAGAGGTGGTCGTATCTTTTGTTCTACAGGTTACTTCCAAAGCAAGCTTAATTATGAAGATCGAATGGACCCCAATTATCTTACTAGATTTCATGTTTTATATTGGCAAAAAAAAATAGAACTTAAACACACAGCTATATGCTTTTCTTTTTGTTGTTGTTGTTAATCCTCACCAAAGAATATTTTTTCCATTGATTTTTTAGACAGTGGAAAGGAGAGAGGAGAGACAGAGAAACATCAATGTGTGACAGAGAGACATCCTGCAAGCAACCAAACCTGTAACCAAGGTACGTGCCCTTGATCGGAATCAAACCCGGATCCTTCAGTCTGTAGGCCAGCACTCTATCCAGTGAGCCAAACTGGCTAGGGCTAAATGCTTTTCTTATGTCTTAATTTTGTCCTCTTTCCCTGACATTTCACTGTGTTAATTTGGAGGAATAATATCAATATGGTAGTTGAGTTGCACTTTCTATTATATTCATAACTATTAGCTGAAGTGAGAAAAAGAAAGCACAGAGACAGAAGGAGTTTGCCTCAGCTGGCACATCAAGTGCCTGAAAGGGCCAAGACCAGTCTTCCCAATAATGTGATACCGCAGGTGGGCTGGCTTAGCCTTGCATTGGGTATTTCTTCTGTGGTTTTATTACTCTTTAAAAATAGTACTTCCCTAGCCCCGTGAGTACCATTTTTGCTTATATCAGCTACTACTGGAAGCTTAGGTGTTGCTGGGTTTTTAATTATTATTTTGCTCCTGAATTCAGAAACCTCCCATCCCCCAAGGTCTATCAGCCAGGTACTACAGATGAGTGTTGCTACTTAATCGCTCTCTTAGAGCCAAAGACAGATTCAGATGATGTAAATTGCTCTAGAAGGTCTCATTTCGTGTTTAAAATTTGTCCATGTCATTTTAGCAAGGGAGAAAGCAGCTCCCAGGAGGCCCCTATACCTCAGTCGCAGACCGCTGAGCCACGGAGGAGAGCCTGGAGGAGGAGCTCAGGTATGCGGTGTGCTCTCCGTGTCCAAGTCACAGGAGAGCCAAGGAACAGTCTTGGCACGCAGTGGCTCACTGGTGGCACCAGTATTCTAGAATGCTAACTGCACTTGCAAGGAGAGCCACTTAAAACTGAGGCCTGGCATGGCTGTGCTTCTCCATGGAGCGCCTGTGTTTGCTGCTCTCTGGGAGGAGGCTCTGGGGAACTCAGCTACCCCAGCTTTGTGGCCAGGATAGCTAGCCAACACCACCACACCAGCTGACCTGCTCACTGAGTTCTCGGGAGACTGTTATTAGCATGATGGAAGAAGGCCCCCCATTCTCCAGCCATTGAATAAGGCATGAGCTTGATTAACTTGCGTAGAAAACAAAAAATGCTCAACTGATCTTAAAGGAGCAGCGCTACATAGAGGGGCATGTTCCTTGTCTGCTGCCCATTAACCACCAAAAGCAGGCAATACCTTGAGATTTCAGGAGCTCCTACACCAAGTACACAAGCTGTGACAGTGGTCTGGGTGGGACAGTCTTTAACCGGTTCATTGCCCAACACAGTCTTTCTCCTGTGCACTGAGAGCTGCCTGCTGAGAACAATATGCTCAAGAACCTGTCCTCCCAGAAGACAGCGGCACGTGTCTTTCCTTGCTTGTGAGTATTCATCGCCGTCCCCACTGTTCACTGTATTGGGAATTGTCTGGGCTTCACCCTCTGTCATCCCTACTCCTAGAGCCTCATGAAGAAATCCTGCATCTGCAAGACTCCCCAAGCAAAAATCATGACAATTGCAGCATGTCAAAAAATAAGGGTCCGCTACAGAATTGATCAGAGAAAGGTGGCCTGCAGGCTGACCTCAGGAATTCAGTGGCTGTACAATTTAAAGCAGCTTAACTGCCCATAGTTTAGTCCCCTGAGGCATTTGCAGAAGATACAGGAGCCAGAGGAAGGTTTATTTCTTCCTTGAGTCTACCTAGCACACTCTTAAATCTTGGCCTTCAAATCGTGACAGACATGAAAGAAAGGGAGGTTAGGGTCTTGGGCCCCCTCACTTCACTTGAAAGAGAGGCAATGCCTTTCTTACCCTCCCTCCTGTGCTGATCTTCAGAAAACAGGAGGCCGGGAGAAGTAAGCCACCCTTTCCCAGGGGATGAATAAATTCCCCTGGCTAATTTCCAGTGTGCACATGGAGAACCTCCTGACAGGTTGAGAGGTGGTGTATTAAGTAGGAGTCACGGCACCTTCACCACGATATGTCCCACTGAAGTGCGGCCTGTCGCAGGCCTGGCCTTGCCTCAGGCTTGGTGATGTGCTATTAAAACCCATAAGCTGAGTCTGCACTGCCACTGGCCAGAGCGCTCCCCTTTCTGAGCAAGTGCAGGGCCGGAGCACCACAGGGCCTGGTGTGAGGCCAGCCAGCAGCCCAGAGGGATGCAGCCCAAGGACCACTGGGAACTCTGGCAGCTTTAGGGCTGCTCCCTACATGACTCCTACCAGCCAAAAAGCAGTGCTCGTACTTGGAAGAGGCCAGGGCTCTCCTCCAGCTGAGTCAGCTAGCACAGCAGAGAAAGCCCTCACTTTTACAGCGCTGGGGAGGGTTGGCTGCAGGTGGGTGTGCACTTGCAAACTCATCTAAACCAACTACCTCGACACAAACTCACAGTATCATTTCCCCTGCAGGAGGGGGGACTCTGGGAGACTGGCATCTGCTGATTTGGCTAAATGGACTACACGCTTGGAATCCAAATGGGTTTGCAAACGTTTTCACTGATTGTCTTTCTGGTCTCTCCATATTTTAGCTTTGATCGTTGTATAATCCACAGCCTGTCTAGTGGAATAAGTGATATGAGCAAATTAAAAAGGCACATTGTGCTCCGAGGGGACTCATCGGGCAATCAATGTGATGGGCCAGGGCAACTGAGCTCCAGCCTTAGAGTCACCTGCAACGAAAACCACTTCCTGCCATCAGGGATGGATTCAGTGATGATGGGACCGCTCCCAAACCCAAACTGACAGATATTCTCTGGAGAGGGAAGAAGTCCTTCACAGCAGAGGAAAAAGGAGGGGCATGTTTCTACATCAAAGTTTCTACTGGCCTTTTGTAAGTGACCTTTGTTTTATTTTGAAAATTAGGGTTTGATAAGGGTGGTTCAAAAATCACTTATATTTAAGGGCTGTGACGTCACAGAAATCTCAGTTCTGGCGAGAGCACTGGTGTGGGAAGCATCTCATGAGACATGCCAGTTGGAGCCGAGTTCCCTAAGGCCAGGGTGGCCTCACAGTCACCTCCTGCTGCCAAGCACTGAGCAGCCACAGCCTGTAAGCAGGGTGGGGGAGGGAGCATAAGCCAGCACCCTAGCGCTCTAGGCTCTGCACTGTTCTGAGAGGAGGCTGCTCCCCACCATTTCTCCAGGAGAACAGCACCCTAGTGCGGGGGCTTCCTAGCCATCAGTAAAGGACTTCCATTGAAAATAATGGAAATTCACATTGGTGCGCATTTGATCCTAAAACGGTAAGTCTCTCTTGATTCTTGAAGGTATTCTCTCAAGCCAGAAGGACGGGTAGGGTGGGGAGGACAGAGGTTTAAAAAGGAGGATGATCCATTTCATCGAGCCAAGAGGCGGGGCTAGTTGGAAAGTCGGGATAGCCTACACTGCTTCCTGTGGAGATGTCAGAGGTGGGTCCCCCAGCCATGGCTCTCAGCGTCTGGCTCACTCCCTGCCCTGTATGCGTAATGATGCCCAAGTTACTGTCCACCGTGTAATCCAGCCCATTGAGCAGAGGAGCGTGGGGCGGCAGGGACGATATGGAGGATGGAGACTGGGGGATTCCATAGGGACTCCCATCCCTCAAGTCCTGATAGGATTGTCCTGTCCCGTCCATGGAGAAGCTCCCATTCATTAACTGTCCGCCTGTAACGTCCCCCACGTTGCCATAAATCCTATTGGTGTGGCCAAGTTCTGAGAGAATTTGATCCTCTGTGGACAAAAGAATGGAGATTTATTGTCAGCCAACAGGATTCTGATGTTCCTGTTCTTTACAACCTAGGTAGGAATACACATGACCAGGAAAGAAGCCCAAGGATGACAGCTGCCAAGCAGGGTCAAACATCACGTCAGCCCGAGACTGACCCACATCAAGGGGGAGAATAGAAGAAACACCTGCAGACTCAATTCCTAGGACCCAGAAGTCTGGACAGTGTTTGGTGAGTGTTTGACCCCTGTCACTCATGAACTAAGATACTCTGGCTACACTGAGGACTACGAATGCCCTCACATCACGGTGGAAGTTCCGTCCTGACAAGATTTAATCTGAAAGCTTTTAGGCTAAGTAATGTGCTTGGGTTAGCAAACAAGCAGGCCCATATGGTAAGGGTACTGAGGACCGCTCTTATCTACTTGGGAGAGATTCAATAGCAAAGGACTTGGTTTGTCTAATGCAGTCTTCACTGAGGACAGTGTTAAGACAAATGGACCTTGCTTCTTAGAAAATTTCACTAAGGGGATCTAACAGGATCTTTGCCACCTGGAAGAAGTCATCTCTCTAACAGAGGGGCCATTTTAGCCTTAATACATAATTACCCAGAATTGAGAGCAATGATATGTCACCCTGGGGACCACCTGCATCCAAAAGAAAGGAGCTACAGAATGAGGCCTGGCAATCCTGTATGTTCCCAACATGGATTCCAGCAGCTCAAATGAGATGAAGTGGCTTTCCCAACCCTGCCAAGAGGGCTAGGGTGTGAGCATGAGGCCCTTGAGCAATCTCCGGGGTCCCAGGACAGACCTCTAGGCTGAGCTACCAGCCCCTCAGGTGAGCGTGCTCCTGGCGGGCAGCTTGTTCCATCCTCTGCCCCATAGACTTTTCTATTCCCCACCTGGGCCTGTGCATCAGTTCCTCTCCAGGCCTCCCCAGACAAGACTTCAACACCCACCTTCTGACAACCTGCCCCATTCCGCCCAGGCTCTTTAAAGGGACAGGAAGGTGAAGGCTTAGCTTCACCGTAAAATGGCCATTGTTTGGCCTTTTGCACATACCTGTCATCCCATGGAATCAGGACCCTCTGAGGGAGCCAAGGCTCCCTGTGGGGACAATCGTCCCTTCCGAGTACAAATACCTGCTGTGTTTTCCCCAAACACATCTAGAGTCATTTGTGTTCATTGATTCCCCACAACATCCCTGTGAGATGGGCAAGGATATGGTTATTCCCTTCTTGTAAGGGGGAAAACTGAGGCTCAAGAATTGAATCCATGTGACAGAGCCACAACTGGAAACCCAGTTTCTGACCCCAGCTCAGTACTTTTCCCTCCCTACAACATAAGGCCTTTCACATTTGAGGACTCAGACTAGGCCAATGGTCGGCAAACTCTAGTCAGAGCCAAATATCAACAGTACAATGTTTGAAATTTCTTTTGAGAGCCAATTTTTTAAACTTAGCTTCTAACGCCACTTCTTCAAAATAGACTCACCCAGGCCATGGCATTTTGTGGAATAGACACACTCAAGGGGCCAAAGAGCTGAGGTTTGCCAACCATGGGGCTAGGAGAATAGGTACGGCTATTTGCAAACAACCTAAGGACTCAACACAGTCATTTGCAATTTTGCTGATGCACCAATTTGACCTTAGCGCATGCTCCAAAGCATTTGTGCGGGGCAGGATGAAGTGCACAGAGGGGGAAGGGATTCAGAAGTGAGGCTGTTCCCCATCTCACATGCACTCACAGTAGTGACTTCCCAGGGCAGAGGGCCCGAGGAGCATGTCCTCCCCATCAGGAGTGCAGAAAGGGGTCACTAGGGGATCCTGAGAGAGCCAGGGCCCCTGCAGAGGGGCTGAGGGCACAGACTGAGACCCAGCTCTGTTCACAGCTGCATGGGTGAGGAGGGAGCCCCAGTCAGCAGGCCAGGAGGGGAGGCCTTGGGGCTCACGGTGCTAGGGAACCAGCTTGCACATCTCAGCAGCAGCGCTCTCTCGTTTCCTTACAGGGCCACTCCATGTCCCCCACCCTTACTGCCAGAGCAGCGGGGAGCCTGTGGTCAGGAGGGAGTTGTCAAGGCCTCAAGAAGATCGCTCCTGAATGTCAAGGATCACTGCTTCCCAAGGGCCTTTCCCAAGGCCTGGGCCTTGCCCCTCCAGCCCTGCTCACCTCGGAAGCTCAGCTCACTGTCACTAACCCCACAGTCCTCTGCAGAGCTCTCCTTCTCCTGCTTGCTGCCGCCCCGGCTCCTCTTGACACTCTTATAGAACTGTCCCCAGCGGTGCCGTCCCGCGTCCTTCTTCAGGCGCTTCTCCTTGGCCCTTCTGTTCTGAAACCAAACCTGCCACACAAGCACAAGGCACACGTTCAGAGGATGCCAACCCCACAGCCCCCAGGTGGCTGGAGACAGGGACTGGAGTTCAAGGCCAGGAGCACAATGTGTCCAGGACTTCCTCAGCCTCAGAAATCTCCAAGTTGGCAAATTCCCCAGGATCATGGCCCCAAGCCCCCAAGAGGATCAGTGACATGGTATGTATACCGCTCCCATGCCTTCCCATGTGGAGGACACAGACTGGCCCTGGGCCCCAGAGCCCAAGGCAGCAAATGAGTACTTGGCCAGGTAGCCGGTGTCTCACCTGTACAACCCGCATGTCCAGGCCCGTCTCCGAGGACAGCTGCTCCCTCACGTGCCGGGCAGGCTTCGGGGAGTTCTTGTAGGCATTCTTCAAGGTCTCCAGCTGCTTGGCCGTGATGGTGGTCCGGGGCCGCTTCGCTCCTGCCTCTGAGTCATCTGCAATAAAAGCCTTACTGGTTGAGTTCAGCCCACCTGAAGCTCCTGGGTCTCGTCCCACCTTCTTTCCTCGAGTGTGATCTTGCCTGCTATGGGCAGAACACCGGGGAGGCAGAGTGGTGTGGGCCACTTCTGCACCACAGGCTTTCCGAAGTGATTTAAAAGTAAGGACACCATCATCCCCCATCCAGCCTCCTCGTCCCCTCCCATCAGACTGAAAGTGTTTCATTCCACGCATCTCCTGTCATGCCCAGCACTGGTGGCCATCCTTGTATGACCAATGCTGTGAAGGAGCTAAAGTCTGGGTTCAGGGCTGTCCCTCCAGCAGGAATCTCCACCTCCTCAGGGTCCCTCGCAGGGGTGGCCCCCCCGTTCACCTACAAAATGTTCATAAATATGAGCCAGAGCCCACCACCCAGTCCCCTCCCTGGAGTCCTGACCCCAAAGTGGAAGGATTCCAGAGCCACTGTGGCAGACACCGGAAAACCTCCAAAACTCTAATTCTGTTTTAGAGAATCATTCCTTCTGCCCATATTTATAGAGATGCCAACATGATAGCAAATGCCAAGTAGTGCACTTTTAAAATACCTGTAGTCTTTATATTTAAAATTTGAAATAGTGAGACCAAAATATTTTAATTGAGAATTGCTTAATGTCAGAGTAGGCTGCCCTAGTGAATTAGAAATCGCTCTCACCACAACCAGATGGCTGTGCCTCCAGGATACAGCCCCGTCATCCTGGCTGGTGGGCATGGCTTCCGCCCTGCTGTCCACCTGCACGGGACCACCTTCTTGCGATTATGGGGACTATTATGCTGTTATTTTAACATTCACTGTTATTCTAATTTAAAATCTTCTTTATATGCTATAATAATGTCATCCAAGTATTCATTAAGTAGTGGTGGCCGTGCTCGTGCTGAAAAATGTACCCAAAAATCAATAACTTTGGTGCGGAAGTTAAATGTGATAAAACGCTATGAAGAAGGCCAAGCAAGACCATGATACCCTGGGCTGTTAATTTAGGAGAGAGCATTCTGCGAGGTGTTAGAGAGAGTGCTGAGAAAATAAAAAGTAGCATTAAGGCAAAGATACATCTCACTGGTTATGGATTTATGTGCTCCCCGAATACCTCCCTCCCCTTACTTCTTACATTAATTCCTATGGGAAAATTAGCCCTAAAATAGGTTAGCTTTGAATTATTCAGGTTCTCTTAGCACTTGTCCCTGGCACAAAACACCACCTCATTATATTGAAAATGCAAATATCTAGGGAGGTGTAACAAATGAACAAAATCATTCACACTAAGATACAAACAGCTGATATCAGATCCTTTGTGTAGCATGAGGGAGGGAACTGTAAAGCCTGAAAGAGGGTGTAGCTTAGCAAGGAGGAATTAAAACATAACAATGGAGCCAAATGTCCCAGAGCAGACAAAGGTCCCCTGCTGCCCTCAGCATCACCCCAAATTCACAGGCCGAACCCAGCCTCACTGCCACGGAATCCATCCGAACTATGTAGCCTTCAGCTCCTGGAAAACCTAACGCAGCTCGCAACTCCCTGTTTGCATCCCCTCCCTGCAGGTCTTACCCTCACTTACCATCCCATTCCACATGCTTTCTCCTTTTTCAGCCTCAGGAAACAGTCCCCCATGGAGAGCTGAGAAGGGACCCTGACCTGTGAGTGACCCAGCAGCGAGGCCCACAAGGTTCTGAGGCTAAATCACGAGTCTCTCCATGGTCCTAGAGGTCTGCTTGGGCACCGGTCCCCGCCCGGTGTAAGCCCCGCTGTCTCCCTTCCCTGCACCACCACAGTGGAGGACGCTGGGCCAGGTGTGCTCAGCGCCCACGCGAGGCTTCTGACAAGCTCGGGGGAGGCCGTGCAGTCCCAGTATCCGCTGAAGGGCATCAGAGCGCCAAAGCAGCTTGGGACCTCGCAGTCCATCTGCTTTGATGGTTTATCCCTGACAAGATGCCTAATCTTCTGTGACATCATAATTGACTTCAAAGCAACAGCATCGAGTGAGTTTTAAGGAACCAGAGCAGATAAATACATTAAAGCAAAGAGCCTAGAATGGGCTTACGGAGGCCCCAGAAAGAGGAGACAGAAGGCCTGTGCACCCCTTCCCACCTTCCACTAAAGCCGGGCTCAACTCTAGCTGGCTCGCCCCGAGATTCCCTCTGCCTCCTCACCACCGCAAACCCTTATTTTAAGCCCCATGTACTGAGCAAAAACACTGCCCCATGTAGTGATCAGGTCTCTATGACCCGTGTGGGCGCCCAGAGACGCTCTGGAAGGAGATACATGACACTTGCTATTTTTTCCTCCACCAAGCCCAGAGCTGTCAGCAGGAGCTGCTTGCCACAGTGATACCCTGAGCTGATAAAAATCCTAGTCAAAGGCAAACAACCTTGAGGTTTTGTGAGTTTGTGCATTTGAGATGCGCAGGTTGGGTTTGGCCAAATGCCATATTTGGAGCCAGTGTGTGAGGAGCTACAGGAGGGCTGCAGGAGGGGAGCATTGGACTTGGCCTTCCTCAGGGCACTCGGAGGAATGGGGTCCAAGCCCAGTCTAAGCCCTGGAAGGACTCGGGCTGCCCACGAACACGGCATTGGAGGGCAGGAGCAGCTGCTGCCCATCTGCCCAAGTGAAGGCAGGTTTTCCAGGTGTGAAACGCTGGGCCTGACATCGGGGTCAGCCTGGGCTGCTGCTGCAGACCCTGCCCCGTGACTGAGGAGGTTGGAAGGTGGCGGGGGTGGAGTCCCGCAGCTGAGTATGGACACTAGCTCAGTAAGCACTTGGCTCCTGCATCGGGGCTTCAGGAGACATGAGGGTCCTCACCCCTCAGTCCTTACCTCATGAGGGGAATGGAGCACAGCTGCCTGGAGTCCAAAGTGATAGGCCAATAGGTGCTGGGGTAAGTGTGCCCCCCAATATACAAGAGCAAGAAGTAAGCCCAAGTGTCCCCTGTAGGCAGACACCCTCTCAGCCCCGCCCCAGGCAGGAGCCACCCAGATAATGACACGGCCCCTGGCTGCTCCTGAGCCCAGTGTGGACGACAGGAGCGCTCACTGGCTACACTGGCTTAAGCTTCGGAACCAGCAGGTGCTGAGGGACTGGGGTGTTGGGTTGTGGGGCGGATCTCAGGAGGCAGGTGTGAGCAGGGCCTGCATAAATGCCTGTGGGGGGCTGTGCGGGGCAATGCCACCTACCGTTCTGCTTGGCCGTCTCGTAGTCTTCCTTGCACACCAGCCGCCCGTCCTCCATGAGGTAGAACTCGTCCCCCGTGGCCAGCTGCCGGTTACAGATGACGCAGGCGAAGCAGTGCAGGTGGTAGACGAAGTCCTGCGCCTTGCGGACCACCTGGGTCGGGGGGATGCCCTGCTGGCAGGCCGTGCATTTTGTGCCGAAGCGCCTGTCAGGGCGGCGTGGAAGGATTAGGGCACAGGGGGCTCATGGTTTCCTCCCGTTGCCCATCGGCCCCCTCTTCCACCCACCACTCCGGGTGCCCATGGGCATCAACCCCTGGACCACCCAGTGCTTATCATCTGGTCCCCCAGCTTCTAACTGACCTCTTACTTTGTGTCTGAGCTCTTTAACCACAAAATAAAGAGGCTGGATCAGAGCTAGTCTCCAGTGCCTTTCAAAGGCTGACATTGACACCACAGGGCTCCACGCTGTCCAGGTAACACCCATCAATTCGCTCCTCGGAGGAGTGTGTGTCCCTTGTGGGCAGGCCGCTCCACCCTCCGGCTCCTAGTATCTCCAACTCTGTGGTGAGGCCTAGAAGGCCCGCCCAGGGGCGACTGCTGCGCCCATACTGGAGCACGGGGCAGATTACAGAGTTCCTCTTCCCGCGCTCCCGCAGGAGCCTGTGTGGCAGGGAGAGAGCACGTGCGTGCCACCGGGTCCACCATTGGGCAGCAGAGTAGGGCCTGGCCCTCCCCTGCCTCTCCTGCCTCGCCCCTCCATCCGGCACAACCGACCCTCCTCGCCCCGTGCCAGCTCCCATCCCCTTCCCATGCACAGCCCCTCAGATGTAGTCCAGGGTGGGCCCAGGAGCTGCATTTTCATATCCCAGTGCCATTCAGGGCAGGAAGTCTGCAGACCTGGTTGGAAAATGCCACTTCTGACCCCTCCCGGGTCTACCCCTCCCTAGACCAGCACTGAGGCGAGAGGAAGGCACCTGCAGCCACCTTGGGCTGAGTTGGGGAGGAGAGAGAGACATCCTGCAAACAGCCCAGCAGGGTCCTTTAAGCTCCTTTCCCTGTTCTAGCCACAGACACACAGGCCACACGAGCAGCCACAGAGGTCAGCAGGGAGTTGGGGGCCAGGGTAGACGTGGGCGATGGAGGGGGCCGCTCTGCTTCAGGTGAGCCTTCCCTGCTTTCAGGAGGGAGGCGGGAGGGGTGGGGAGGCAGGGGCAGAGTTTAAAACAGCAATCAACCTAATTATTCATGACATTTCACACAGCACAACTTTATCTTCTTCAGGATGAAAGACTTCGCCTAATGGATCTGGGGAAGGTTTGATTTTAATGGTCCTTTTAACTAATGCTTATAGGCAGCCTGATTTCCCCTGAAAGGACAGTACATATTTCATCCACATTAATACCAAATAAATTAATTATGGTCATGGCTATCATGATGAATCCCAGATTAATGCAGAATGATGGGTCTCTTATGCAGTAATGATACCTGCTGGGGGCTGCAGGGCCTGGAGCAGGCGAGCCAGCTGTGGCTTCCGAAGTCCCCCTCCCAGGACATGTCACAGAGAAAAGGGTCTCTGAGTCTAGATGGGTAACCCTGAAAGAGCCAGCAGTGTGGCTCAGGGACAGCTCTTCTGAGACGAGACCTGAGAAGGTGCTGGGGGTGAGGGGCTGAGGCACTGGGCTTGGAAGGACTGCAGAGCTCCGGGAATGGCCCAGGGTTTTGTTGGGGGCAGGAGGGGGTGCATGGAGGTCTCCATAGTGGGCAGGTCAGGGCTCTTCAAACTGCCCCCAATTTTTTCAAAACTACACCCTGAGGGGGACTTGGGCTTCCAACAGATTCTCAAAGGGGGCCAATCCCAAAAAAAGTTAGTATTTGTTGAATCATAAATCTGAGGATAAACAAGCTTGTTTTCAGAGGATATGCACAGACATGGCTAAATGTGAGCATGAGAACACGGTATACTATCAGTTCTGTACCTTCCAGGACTCAGGTGAGAACCAGGCTTCTTCAACACCTGCCACGGAGCCACACTGCCTGCATTCACAGGGGAAACAGGCAGGCACCGGCTCTGTCCTGTGAGTGTGAGAGAGTGTGTGTGTGTGTGTGTGTGTGTGTGTATGTGAGAGAGAGAGAGAGAGAGAGAGAGAGAGAGAGAGAGAGAGAGAGAGAGGTGAGGGGAGAGATTGAAGGAATAGAGAGGAAGGAAGCCGTATAGTATGTGCTCTCGGAGCATGTTTTCAAAATGCCTGTTGTGTTCGTATCCAGTCCAGGCCAGTTCTCACAGCAGGTGTTCAAAATAAAAAGGACCCTTTGCACCACACTCCCTGCAAAACCCCCAAGTAAACTGCCCACATCCAGGTGCAAACGCCGTGGCAGAGCAGCTCCCGAGAAGAACTGGCGTTTATAAAAGCAAGTCTTACCTTTCGGCCAAAAAAATGGAGGGGCAGGGCCTGAAGGGGGGCTGTGGGGAGACTCCAGGAGACAGGAGACCCCTCCCCCGCCCCCGCCAGTGGCCACCCACAGAGCGGGCTACTCTCGCCACCACAGGCAGACAGTGGCTTTCAGTAACCAGAAACCCATTTGACACCAGCGCCCCAGAGATGTGAAAGATAACGGGGTATAAATTTAATCTGCATACCGACAGTGATTCATGCGTGAGGGTGGCAAGTGCACAAGAAAAATGAAAAATAAATGGACTTTTCCACCAGCGTTTTTTAGCAATTGAAGCAATTTTCCTGATTGTGGGATTTATACCGACGGTAAGTGGAAGTTGGTCCTTATTACCTTGCTCCTCTGGAGCACAGCCAACGGGACCCTGGGTGAGGGGGCTCCCCGCACAGCCCACCCGGAGGGGCACCGGCCCCCGCTCAGCCACGGGACCCGGAATAAGGTGCCGTCTGTGGGGCTGTGTGGGCGATGAAGACACTGCCTCTGAGTCTCCAACTCTAGGACCAGCCAGCCAGCCACAGCTGGGAGAGGCTACACAACCTGTGGGATGGGCATGACGCAGCCAAGGTCAAACTCCCTGGTCCAGCTGTGAACTTGGCTGCTCCACAGAGAAGCAATAGTCTAACCGACCCAACAAAGCTGAAGGAAGCTGGGGTGGAGCTGAACGCTGGGCATTGGCCAAGTAAGAGGCTTCCTGGGGATTTCCCAGGCAATCCCCCCTGCGTCCTGTCACTGAGCACCTACTGCGTGCAGCGCCCTGCCTACTCAGCTGCAAACCGCGCTGACTTCGCTCAGCAGGACCATCGCCCTGCTCAGTCCTGCCTGGCCAGGTGTCAGGGAGCCCAGGGGAAGCCATTGAAGCTCGTCCAACCAGCATCACTGGTAATTCTAACAGCCCTGCCCAGCGTGGAGTAGGCAGCAAAGACCCACTGACCAGGAGAATGGATGCATGTATGTGTGAATGAATGCCTGAACTGCTCATAAAACACATCCGACGCACTCAGAAGGATCAACACTCAACATCACCATAGCTCCTAGCAAAAGCTTTCCTAAGAAGGCACTTGAACCCCGGGTTGAAGTGGGGCCCGTGGCGTCCTAACAAACTTTCCAGGCACTTTGCTGTCATCCAGGTCCCTGAGTGCTCTGTCTGGAAGGCGATGCCTTCCAACGGTAAGGAACAGGCTCAGTGGGAGGCGGGTGCGGCCGCAGCTCACGGGGGCAAGAAGGGAGAGAACCAGGGTTCGAGCTCGGTGCCTCTAACAGGATGGCTAGCACACGGCGGGCAGCAAAGGCAGCAAGCATCCACTGAGAAGATGGCTGTGGCACCCGAGTGGAGGGCCCTGTTCCCCTCCAGTGTCCCCAGTTGCTCAGAGCCACTGAGCAGGAAGGCCTGGAATTTAGGGGCTGTCCTGGGAGCCTTCACCTCTGGGGTGTCCACCCGAACCCACCCAGTCACACCCCACTCACCACCTTCATGCTCCTACCACCCAGTCAGGAGTGAGGGGCCTGGGCATCACTGTGACATGCAGGGGCTGCTCCTGACCCCAGCCCAAACTCCCATGTGTCTGTCCCCCCATGTGTCTGTCCCCCCACTTCCTGCTCTTGAGAGGCCTGGTGGGACCACGCCCGAGAGCAGGGTGTCTGCATCCTGCAGAAAGAGACTAAGCAGGCCCTGCCAGCACCATACCTGCTAGAAACGGGCGTGTAAATCCTGCACCACACATTCTGGCACATCCCTAGTTTTAGGGTCTGTCCTGCGACCAGGCCAGGAACCATGTGAACCTCATGGTAACTGGATTCATGAAAGCAGCTCCCATTCACTAAGTACTTAACATGTGCCCCTGTGGGTTTATATGTCACTCCTCACCACCAGCCCTCAGCTGACTACCCACCTTGTGATGGTCACTGCCCACTCATCCCCAGCGGGTTTTGCACCATCACTGTCACTGTCCTTCCTGCCATCATTTCCTTCCTGCCCCTGCCCTCTCAATTATTTCACCTCTTCTCCTGAAGGTCATGGCCTTCTCACTCCCATGGTCTACCGCAGACCTCATTGCTCCTAGAAACTGCACTATCTCCAAGAGTACCCTCCAACCACCCCAGGTCCAGCCGCCACCTCCTGTCCTGTGAGCTCACTCCCTGCAGCTCCCTGACGCCCAGGGCTCTGCAACCTGCGGGCCTCATCCATCTTCTCACATCCCTGACTCCCCTCCGGGCCTCGCTCACCTCCTCCAGCAAAGATGCAGAGGTCCCGCTTACCAGCCCCTCACTTGCACACACACTCACCTCCCTCCCCTGCTGCAGCTCTCCCCTTTCTGCCCCCAGCTCCGGGGGTCTGCACAGAGCTGAAGGCCACATGCCACGTCTCTGCCTGGCTCACTTTAAATCTACCCTCTGCTCCGGACCTCAGGAGCCCTGGGGAACCACAAACACTTCCCTGTCCGTTCGCTGTCCCTCCCTCCCACCTCCTGTCTCAAGCCCCCCATCCTCCGTCTCAGCTGGTGGCCCACTTCCTGTTTCCCTGGAAAACAGAGAAATAGCCCTCTGCTTCCTGCAGCCCGGCTGTCCACGCTCCTGTGCAAAGCCGGCCAGCCGCCCACCCTGGCACAGTCCGCCCCTCTGCGCCTAATCAGATGATTCTTCCAGCAGCGGTCCCCTTTGCCTCCCGCACCATTAATTTTCCCTTCTCTAGATCCTCCCCGGCAGCGTGCAGCATGCTATTATCCCTGCCACTTTAAAAAATCCCTCTTCTGAC